TGCTCAGTAACATTAACATTGAGTTGGTTTTGCATCTTATTTTTTCCTTTCTTAAGTATTTTTTTAAGTCTTAAGTCCTTCATTTTCCTTCCTTTCTTTCTCCTTTCTCTCTTAACTAAATTTTTAGATTCATTGAAGATGGCGTCTTCTTCTTCTTCTTCTCCTTCCATTTCCTCCATCTGTTGCTGTATTTGATAATTAACAAGCACCATTTCTAAAAAAAGGAAGGTTTCCTTCACTGCGTCCTTTCTTTCTTCATATTCTCTAAGTTCATCAACAGATAAAGCCATTCTTTATTCTTCTTCTTAAAACAACCAAAATGTTTCAAAAGTTAGAGCAATTCCCAAAAGTTCCAGAGAGAGTCAATCAGTCCAAACAATACACAAAGTTCTCACTTTCTCTTCCTGGGGAGGTATCAAAGGGAAAGGAAAAAACCTCCAATCTATACTTTAAAGCCTTATTGCAATTAATTTCTGTTTCAGCACTCAATTTTGCCGCTTGTAATCCTCCTCTGGAAACGAAGTGTTGTTCAAAAAACCATAGTTCTCAGGATTAAACGCCTCTTAAAATCCTGGGTCAGCCAAAAAACTTTCTCTTGACAACTTTCTCCTCTCTTCATCCTGCTCAATCTTACCCAGCTTCCGGCTTCTTTGAGGCGGCCATTACAGACCGCCGCTCGACCGTCTTGGGAAAAGGGGGTTTTGCCGGCTGGGAAGGGGGTCTGCAACATCCCCAAACCCCTCACCAGCTCCCCCTTATCTTCGGCTGCCTCTTCATGGCAGCCTTAGCCTCCAGATCCGTGGATCGGAGGCACCAAAGCGGCTAGCGCGGCAGGGATCGCGCAGGATCGCAAATCCCTGCCGCTAGCAAAGCCGACAAACCGGAAGTTCATATTGCAAATTATTTCTTGTCTGTTATCTTTTGGCAGTCTTGCACAGTTTGGCAAGGCTTGTGCTTATCACAGTTAATTATTTTGCAGAAGCATCAAAAGGTTTCTGTTCCTTTTGGATTGTGTTTGATTTGTTGGAAAAGGGCGTGGGTCAGAACAATGGCACGGTGTTTGCACTTGCACATGAAGGTCCACTCACGTGAGAGGCAGGAACTTTTGCACTCATGCACAAAGTTCCAGTCACATGAGTGGAGGAACCTTGAGTGGAGGCGCTTGTATTCATGTGCGAAGCTCCACTCTTGCTTGATCATTCTTAATAACAAACAATATCACTTGTTCTAATCTATTTGCTAAGACTGCTATTCAAATCTTTGTATCAACTTAATCAACAAGACTGGATAATAACTAGCACGCTTGAATCTAATCTTTACTACAGACCAGTTGCTCTAACATCTGTAGTTATGAAAATCTTTGAAAGGCTTGTGCTGTCCCACCTGAAAACCATCACGGATCCACTGTTAGATCCCATGCAGTTTGCATACTGAGCAAATAGATCAACAGATGATGCTGTTAACATGGCTCTGCATTACATCCTACAATACCTTGAATCTCCCAATACCTACGCAAGGGTCCTCTTTGTAGACTTCAGTTCAGCATTAAATATCATCATTCCAGACACTCTTCTAAGTAAATTAAACCAACTAGCAGTACCTGAATACACTTGTAAGTGGATCATAAGCTTCCTAACAGACAGGAAGCAGCAGGTGAAGCTGCTGATACCTGTACAATCAGCACAGGGGCCCCCCAAGGCTGTGTGCTTTCTCCACTTCTCTTCTCCCTGTATACCAATGACGGCATCTCAAACGATCCATCTGTTAAAATACTGAAGTTTGCTGATGACACAACAGTGATTGGTCTCATTCGAGACAATGATGAATCTGCATACAGACAGGAGGTTATACAACTTGCCTCGTGGTATAATTGGAGCAATCTGGAACTGAACACACTCAAAACCATAGAAATGGTGGTAGACTTTAGAATAAATCCTCCCATACTTCCACCTCTTACAATACTAGACAACACCATATCAACAGTAGAGACCTTCAAATTTCTAGGTTCTACTATATCACATGACCTAAAATGGACACCTAACATCAAAAACATCATCAAAAAAGTACAACAAAGAATGTTCTTTCTGCACCAACTCAGGAAGCTCAAACTGCCCAAGGAGCTGCTGATCCAGTTCTACAGAGGAATTATTGAGTCTGTCATTTGCACCTCTATAACTGTCTTGTTTGGTTCTGCAACCCAACAGGACAGACACAGACTTCAGAGGATAATTAGGACTGCAGAAAAAACAATTACTACCAACCTGCCTTCCATTGAGGACCTGTATACTGCACGAGTCAAACAGAGGGCTGTGAAAATATTTACAGACCCCTCACATCCCGGACATAAACTGTTTCAACTCCTTCCCTCAAAACGAGGCTATAGAGCACTGCACACCAGAACAACTAGACACAAGAACAGTTTTTCCCCCGAAAGCCATCACTCTGCTAAACAAATAATTCATTCAACCCTGTTCAACTATTACAAAGTCGGCACTACTATTACTGTTAAATCTTGTCATCACTTCTTAGCACCCATCCCCTCCCACTTGTGACTGTATGACTATAACTGTCGCTTGTATACTTACGATTTATATTGACTGTTTCCTAGTATGATTGATTGCTTATTGTACCCTATGGCTGTCATTAAGTGTCATACCTTATGATTCTCGACTTCTGACATATGTATCTTTTCTTTTATGTATACTGAGAGTATTTACACCAAGACAAATTCCTTGTGCGTCCAATCACACTTGGCCCATAAAGTATTCTATTCTATTCTATTCTATTCTATTCTATTCTATTCTATTCTATTCTATTCTATTCTACTCTATTCTACTCTATTCTATTCTTTCGGTATAACTGTAATATAAGCCTGATTAAATTCCCTTCTCAAATATTTCTTAATATACTTGACTATTCTGGCCCCAAAAGATTTATGCCACTTAATAGAGAACCCAGCTAGTCCTGGGGGTTTCTCCACTTGCTCATTACAGCAATGGTATAAAGCAGTTTAATTAATGAATATAATATATATTACAAACATAATAATGGAAGAGACATGACCCAACAAAATATAGATAAGAAAATATAGATGAGAAAATTTAGGGAAGGAAAAGACCACAATGTAGGCCAATGCTATACAAACTTGGTAACTTTTAAGATATTTGGACTTCAATTCCCAATTCTGAAGCACTGGTCTAGATACTGGGGAAATGAGTTACAGCAGGAAACAATCAAATCCAGAGATTTTTAAACTGCATTACTTTCTTTGCCTTCAGCCACAGAGTGAAAAAAGTGCACTGCATCAAAAAAATATCACGTTTAGGAATCACATAATAAAAATTGTTTGTTCTGCTCAAGAAAGATTGAATAAAGAAGAACCAGTATGGTAGTGGTGAAGACACCAGGCTAGAAACCAGGAGACTTTAAGCCTGGTTCAACTCCAAGAATTCCCCAGCCAGCTTTGCTTAAAGTTGCCAAGATTGGAGACCCCTGACCTGGATGACTGAGAATCTCCATAGATATTTAACTTATGAATGCAATGGCGCAGTGGTTAGAGTGCAGTACTGCAAGCTATTCCTACTGCAGTTTGGCAGATCTAATCCCACCAGGCTCAAGGTTGACTCAGCCTTCCATCCTTTCGAGGTGGGTAAAATGAGGACCCAGATTGTTGGGAGCAGTATGCTTAGAGAGGGCTGTAAAGCAGTATAAAGTGTATACAAGTCTAAGTGCTATTGCTATAAATGAACTGAACACATTGGGTTTGCAAGGCACACTAAAGTGCATGGATTGAAGTTGGGCATTTAATGCTACTTAAGATTTGTTTGGCTATAAATTCAGAATTATCCCTGTTCTAGAGAATGAATCCTGCCCAGTTGAGTGGATCTTGCTCTTGTTTGGTTAAGGCTGGGGTGTGATCTTGAGGAAGCCAGTCTCAAGAAAAATCAACTCATCTATCCCTGGGAAAAAAAATCAAATGCATATGCAAACTAAACATACAGAGGTTGAATTCAGCTGCTGTTTCTCTACAACACCCTGAGCTAAGAACTAGCCAACCTTAAGTAGCATTAAATGCCCAACTTCAATCCATGCACTTTAGTGTGCCTTGCAAACCCAATAAGTTCATTTCATTTATGCATTCATAAGTTAACCTTGGCAATTTTAAGCCTAGAGGACTTCAACTCCCAGAATTCCCCAGCCAGCAGTTAAAGTCCTCCAGGCTTAAAATTGGAGACCCCTGTTCAAGTCCACTTTAGGTATGAAAGCCAACTAGATGACTTTGGCCCAATCATCAAGAGACAGTGAGTTCTAGTCCCGCCTTGGGCATGAAAGCTATCTGAGAGACCTTGGGCTAGTTACACTTTCTCAACCCAACCCACCTCACAGGGTTGATGTTGTTGTGAGGAAAATAGGAGGAGGGACCTTTAGATATGTTTCCTGCCTTAAATCATGTGCAAAAATAATAAAAGAGGGATCTAAAGAAACAGCTTATCCTGACATTTAGGAGAAATATCCTTTAATTTCATCTCCGCATATGAGAAAGCAGGACACCCAACTTTTTTTCATTCCTGCTTTTTTGCAACTCGGCCGCTTTATAATATAGTCTTGAATAAGACGGTAAAACGAGGGATGAAAATGACGCTTTTAAAAGGAGGAGGGACGGGGGGGGGGGGAGAAACCCACTGGGGTCCCTTTTAATTAGAAGACACCGGAAGACGACTTAATTATACACCGCAGCTTACTCCGGTGCATCTTTACTCAAAAGTTGGGTGTAGGGGAGTCGGAAAAGAAACCCGCTGGAGAACTTAAATCGGGCGGAGAGAAAGCAAGCGCAGCGAAGAAGAATTGGCGCCACGTTTGTTCTTTTAAAAGGGCCGAGATTTACAGAAAACTCCCCCCCCCCCCACCCCCCCCCCCCCCCCCCCCCCCCCCCCCCCCCCCCCCGCCTCCGCGCGCGCGGACCCGCAACCCGTTCAGCCTCCTAAGAAAGGCAGCCTCACCTCCACTTCACCTGCCCTCCCCGCCACCCTCTCGGCTCCACAGCGGAGCGCCAGTTCCCGCGACGGCAGTAATTACGGTCCCAGCGTGAGCTCCATGCAAGCGCTAAACGAAACAGCAGATCAATTAAGAAATAAACACTCTATTGAAAAAACCAAGACAACCCCCTGGGACGGCCTAACAAGCGCGAATAGGCTTCCTCGCATTCTTGCCAGACCTCGCTTTTTTTTCTCTCTCTCCTCTTCCTCCTCTCTTCCCACACACCCCCTTCGCCCGTTTAAGGTAGCCTGAGCGCGTCAAGCTGGTAACGCGCTAAGGTCCTGGTACTGCAACCGGAGTCGGAGATTCGCGAAATCGGGAGGCGCAAGGTTCGCCAAAGGTGGAGAAAATATTCGACCAAAACAAAATTCTGTGTCTGTTCTTTGCAGGCGACCAGCGAGCGCTAAGATTGCTAGTTCATTTTCGGCTTATGTATGTAGGAATCTATGATCCGAAGCGATTTTCTCTGTGAATGCCATACGCTGGCGGATAGAGTCCCCGGTGTCATTAGGAGTTTATTTTTCAATATAACGTTTAGCAACTATTTATGTATAAGCTACCTAACTCCGATGGACTCTTACTCTTTTTTTCATAGGACTGCACTAATCCAGAGTTTGCTTAAACATCATTTGACAAAGCCACAATTGGTTAGATTTCCACAACGCTCTTAATTCCTAAAACATAGTTTACCAACCACTAATTCATAAACCATCCTTTATATCTGGCTTAGTTAATGTTAAACCAGTGCTTATCAACCTTGGCAACTTTTAAGAGGCGAGGACCTCAACTCCCAGTTTTGGATGGGAGTTGATGCATATATGCCTTAAAAGTTGCCAAGATTGAGAAACATTATTCTAAACTCAAACTAAGCTGTGATTAGAATATATGAAGCCAGTTTGCATGCTTAGGAGTATATGCCCCAAAGCATGGTTAAGACAAGCATATGGCCATAATTGGATGCCATTTAATAGGTCATCTAATATTGATCCATTGGGGCCATCCAAAATCTCCAGCAAAGGAAAATGCAGCTGTTGTTAACAAGCTGTTCTCCAGAATTCCCCATAATATTGAGCCTGTCCTTTTCTCAGTTTCAAAGCTAAAACATACAGATCTCCTGTAATCATTCTTCCTACATTCGATTTTCAAGTCTTTGGTCATAGTGGTTGCTGTCTTCCAAACTCATTTCTTGAAGATTAGTCAAAAGGTTCTCCAATCTCATCAGCCAGCTTCTTCAAAAGTGAGGGATTCTAAATGTTTGCAAGAAAACAAACTAAGTAACATCATCAGTGCTAGTGATCAGCATTGATGATGTTACCTAGTTTTGGTAATGAAACTTTTTCAAGAAAACAAGTAAGCTCAGATAGCACCAAGGACCCCTTCATTTCAACCCTGACTTACAAATATTTTTCCCTTATTCTTCAAAAGTCTTTTGCTATAATTTGTCCATCCCCAGAAACTTGAACTTGTCAAAGATAGCAAAGATGGGGGGGGGGGTTTCTATACTCTTACTAGTACTGAACTATATTTCCCACTTTTCCTCAATTATATTAAGACTCCATAAATCTACAAATCTGTTAGTTTCCTTTGTCCAATAGTATATGCAATAGCCTTTTAAGCTTGCAAAGTTCAATATACATGTGAACCATATGAATAGAACATACCTGTTAGATTTCATGTCACTTTTAGTTCAATCTCACCCTCTCCCTCCCTCTCCCTCCCTCCCTCTCTCTCTCTCTCTTTCTCTCAAACACACACACACACCAACATACACCAAACTATCTGCCAGACTGGCTAAATTCTTTAATCCACATTAAGGCTCAAAAGTTGGTGGGATCAGTTTTCTTCCTGTGTTGATTGGAAATGACAACCAAGCTCCTCATTACTGAGCTTAGCATCTTTAAGAAATGCTTTACAGGCTGAAGTAAAACAAGCAATAATTTGTCTGGCGCAGATGAGAATGGAAATGTTGAATTGCTTCCTCGTCTGCAGTTGTGAAGAGGGCAGAGTTAACTACTCAGATTATATCCAGGGTGCTAATATCTTGCTTACCTAGTAAGTTTATGTTGTCCAAGTGGAAGAAAAGATGGTTTTACCTCCAGGTGATATAACAGGAATGGTGGGGGGGGGGGAAGGCTCTAGAGTTCTCCCAATTTGAGAAGGGAAGACTGAATTCTTACACAGAAAAAGTAAAGGAAAAGTTTAATTCTTTAAAGCTTTAACTTTCATTAAAGCAATGAAGCTCCTGATCCACAAGCCAATCTTCCCTTACCATGCAAATCCCTTTTTTAATTATTTACTTATTCCATTTTTTATTATTTTTTAAAAATAATTCAAGGTGACCACAATACCTATTTTTTCTTCATCATCCTATTTTCCCCACAACAGCAACCCTGCGAGGAAAGTTGGGCTGAAAGAAAGCGATTGGCTCAAAGTCACCTAGCTGGCTTTCATGGCTACGGTGAGACTAGAATCCATTGTTTCTTGGGGATTGGCCCAACGCCAGCCTTCCTTCATGGCTATGGTAGGACTAGGAGCCATAGTTTCTTGGGGATTGGCCCATCATCACTCAGCTGGCTATCATGGCTAAGATGGGACTAGAAGCCATAGTTTCGTGGTGATTGGCCCAACATCACTCAGTTGGCTATCATGGCTCAGATGGGACTAGAATTCATAGTTTCCTGGGGATTGGCCCAAAGTCACCCAGCCAGCTTTTCATGCTTAAGGGGGATTACAAGAACTCAAAATCTTAGTTCTAGCCTTAGTTCTTTAACCACTAGACCACACTGCCATTTTTTCTATTGTAATTTAAATCCTGCTGGAATTATTTGCCATCCATATCATGAATGGTTGATTTTATACAACATTGTGAATAAAAATGTGGCTTGCTTTCCTGCAACATCATGATTGTTCCATTGACACACATCTATTCCAATGAGTAAATTGGGATGAAATGCACTACATAAATAAAGCCAATATATACAATGGATAGGAGCAGTGGGCAGCCATTATTTTTCATCAGCACGTGAATACTTTATCATTTTGAAGAGCTGTTACATGTAGAATTGCATATTTCTTTTTTTAAAAAAACTTTTATTGGTTTTTAAAACATAAAAACATCATCTTCCATATATGTACATACAGTGTGCCGATTGGTTTACAAATTGTTTTGTGCTTCCATTTCATAGTCTTCAATTATAATTACATTGTATATAATCTTGTATTTTCAATCAAATATTAAATACATTAATATCATTATTAATCAATCATTTGACTATACTTTTATTCATTCATGTTTTACAAAATGATCATATTTTACTTAATTTGTTTTATGACAATTCATATTATCATCCCAGATCTCTCCTAGAATCATTTTGTAGATATAATAAGAAAAGAATACATCTTTATATATTTATTATTTTCTAAAAGTCTACATATTCCATTACTATATTTTATTGTCCAACCATTGATAGAATAGATCCCAAATTTTATAAAATTGTTTATCATCTTGTTCTCTAATTTCAAATGTCAATCTACTCATTTCAGCACATTCCAATATTTTCTTAATGATTTCCTCCTGTGATGGTATTTTCTCATTTTTCCAGTTTTTAGCAAATACAATCCTAGCCGCTGTTAATACATTTACAATCAGGTATTTCAAGTCTTTACTATATATTTCAGGTAAAATTCCCAATAAAAATATCTCTGGTTTCAAATCTATGTTTTTTTTGTCATTTTTTCCAACCACGTGTGGATTTTAGTCCAGTATTTTTTAGCATCCGCACAAGTCCACCACATATGGTGTCTCACCACATATGAGCCAGGTGTCTGATGACATTTCCAACATTTTTCGAGAATTTCGAGATTTATTCTTGAACATTCTTGCTATTCTTGTAGGGGGGAAATGCCACCTGTAAAACATCTTATACAAATTTTCTTTATATGCTGTTGACATTGTCATTTTATAATTTTGAGACCACAATTTTTGCCATTTCTCTAGATCAATCCCGTATCCAAAATTCTTCCCCCAAGCAATCATAGTTTCTTTAACTTGTTCTTCTTCTAGTTTAATTTCTAATAAATATCCATACAATTTTTTAATCACCTTTTCATCAGTACCTGTCAAAATCTTATCTAAGTCAGTCAGTTTATCGTAGAAACCTTCTGTTTTAGAATTTTTATCATACCTTGAATGTATTTGCGCATATGAAAACCAATTCATCGTTATACCTTGTTCCTCTAGTTTTTGTATAGATTTAAGTTCACCCTTTTCATTCAATATTTCACCATATCTAACTGTTTGTTCCTTTTTGTATATTATAGGATAAGAAAATGCTTCAATAGTCGATAGCCAGACTGGAATTTTCAAATAACATTGTCTTTTAATCTTCTCCCAGTTTAACCACAGAGACTCCCGTATATAATGTCTTCTAAAAGTACCCCTGTGTTTTAGTTCCTTTATACCATAAAAAAGCATGCCACCCCAACAACAAATCATGTCCTTCTAATGTCAATAATCTAGTATTTCTTAATGTTATCCATTCCTTAACCCACATCAAATTTGTAGCTTGGTAATAAACTCCCAATTAGGCAAACAAAATCCTCCTCTTATTCTAGCATCTTGCAAAAGTTTTAACTTTATTCTTGCTTTCTTACCTTGCCATATATATTTCAACACAATAGCCACAGTTATTGTGTGCTTAACTTTGGTTGGCTACTTTAACCAAAATTTCAGGGAAATGGATGTATGAACAATGCAATCTTATGCCTCTTAAGTCCTACTGAGTTCAGTTGGTTTTATAAAGTAATATAGGACTGCAGTCAATTTTTTTAAAAAAATATTGCTATAGCTTCCCATTTGTCGACCGTCATTTTTTTAATGTATAATCTGTTTTCATCCTTGCACATTTCCAAATACCAAATCTGAAACCAGATGAAGATTTATTAAGTTTTGCTTTAATTGATTTAATTAAAGATTTGCTTTATGGATTTCCCAACTTAATGATTTTCCAGTGGAAAGAATGTTAATTCCTTTTGACCAGAATGGAGTTAAATGCATTGGTACATGGATCTGAACCTTGGCAACTTTTTAAGACTTGTGGACTCCGACTCCCAGAATTCAGCCTTGGCAACTCCAACCTTGAAACTTTTTAAGACTTGTGGACTCCGACTCCCAGAATTCAGCCTTGGC